GCATAGCTCGCAACGAATGTAGTCCTGTAAATAAACGAATAAAGAAATTGTGTAATAAAATGCCTCTGGCGGGACTCGAACCTGCGACCTCTCGCCTTGACAGCCATGAGTTCAGTGGCGATCCAGCACTGGGGTAAATGTGAAGAGCTTGATTATTTTCCACTTATTTACAAAAACCATGGTGGGGCTGAGGTGGGCGTGGCGGCGAGACCATCATATGTTCCCCCACCCCCTACTCCCCGGTCAGAAATTCTCTGGATCCGCCCCTGCCACCCCATGAAAAGTTGCGAGACGTTAGTGGCGCTGATTCCAAATAGACCCTCAGATCAAGACTCGATAAAATGGTGTAGTGTTTCGTTATTATTATGCTTAACTCGCTCATTATAACTCTTTTGAAGAAAATTAAGGAAATAGTATTATATTTTGTAGTCTGTTCAAAATTAAAGTATAGCATTAACATTTGTAAAACAGGTTTGAAGTTTCTCATGATATGCATTGCATTGTGAAATTATTGTATGTTATATACACAAAAGAAAACTGAAGTTTAATATCTTAAACAAATTGTATGATCTTTGTCCTAATACTTCGTCAAATGGAAAAAAAGCCGGGGGGGGGGGGGGGGGGGTTTAAATATTTCTAATAAATTTAAGATGATATATTTCACAATAGCAAGTTCTGAGCAGTCTCAGTTGATACCGATACACTCCATGATACAGACTGCTGTTACAGTGGCCCTATTCATTGCTTATAGTAGTAATTACCAACATGTACAGCAACTCTCTTTTTACTTTGCAAGTAGCCTCGAAAAGAAGCCCCATCTTAAAAGGAGTCCATCTCGAACCATACAAATTTCGCAAAAAAGAAGCCTCCATGGGCCAAGGTTTTACGGTACTATAGTGAAAATGGAGAAAATTATACCATATATCAATATCAATAGTAAAAGATCATTTATGAAGCCTAGATCTTTGTCAATACCAATTGCATGAGTGCTAAATTTAAGAATTCCCTGAAGTTCAGCTGTCCTTCAAAAAAGGTACATTTATTTTAGTATCTTAAAATATTGTTTTGGGATTGTAAAGGAAGCGGAGTGTACTGTAGGATTCTAGCAAAGCGTATACAATAATATCACAAATACACAGACCTGTTTGATGCATTTTACATGTTTAATCAGTATTAAACTACCGGTACCTGTTTACTACCTGTCTCTTATACACATCTAATTGCAACGTCAAAAAACACGTTTATCTAAGATATAAATATTTAAGTAGGCCTATTAGCTTCTCTATTTAGCATTGCTCTCACACCAATGTTATGCACACTGTCAGAGGCAGATCCAGGGGCTCACGGGGCCTGTGCCCCACCCCCGTCAGTCCCACTGAATAAAAAGAGGGAGAAAATGTAAAGGAGAGGAAAAGGCAGTGTAACCATGAGTTTAGTGGCTGGTCCAGCAATGTGAGGAGAGCTTGATTTTTAACTCTCACTAATTTTGGATTTTATATTGATTGACGACGAACCCAATACAACAATGCTATATACCAGACGCTGATTTTTTCCCCACAAATTTCATAAATCAGGATGTAAAAAAGGCCAAAAGAAACCACTACACCTGTCAATTTTTTTTAATTAATAAAATTTTAAAACTGCAAGTCTGAATGAGTACCGATTCTGGGCATCTATAGAGGTGTCATAATCATAGTTTGCTTTGCAAATCCCAGTAGAATCACTAAAGTCTTCGATTAGACCTTTGGACGCCCATGAGGGGATGGGTATCAAGGAAAGGGTAGCATAGCTCCCTTCGATAGGAATTAAATAATTTTGTCGAGGAACCCTGCTTTTTACCATCTGAGATTCATTTCCGAGCGTCTAGATTCTTCAAATTTGCTCACGCCCCAACCATGATGGGGTTGAGGTATGTGTGGCCTACTCTGCCAGAATCAAGTGGGGCCTAGCCAGGCCGACCCCGCTCCCCTTAATTTTGTTCAAAACTTTTTGAAGAAAATCTAGAAAAAAAGGGAAATTTATAATCAAATTTAGATATATGATTGCCATTTCCCCATAGAGGTGTAATAATCATACACTGTTTTTTCCTCAGCCCCGATCAAAATCCATCACTGCACTTCACTCTATTTTGAGATCCTGGATCCACCACGGACTACCTATTGCTCCCCCCAGGGAATTTCTGGATCCGCCCCTGACTATCCAAAATAAGAGACCAATTGGATGATTTAATTTTTTATAGGTCAAATGTCATGATGTCATGTGGCTTTTATAACAAGTAAAATACCATAAAGTGAAAAAAAAATGTTCATATAATAGTGTATAATTGTGTAAAATGAATACATGGTCAATATCTCTAACACTTTGGAAAATACTTTAGTGATTTTACAGGTGTTTCTTAAATTTTAAGTGTAAAAACATGGTAATTACTCTCTGATACACAACTTGTTGTATTAGTCTTTGTACGTGATGTGCATTTAAAGTCTTTGATCAATTACCGGTAGTACAGTATATACTGAAACATCAGTCTTGCCATATCCGACGTAATAGCCTATACAAAAAACAGTATCTTACCATTACTCTATTTCATTGTAATAGTTTTTTGTAAACAGAGTCAACTAGAGCCTATATGTAGTTGTAATTTAAAAATTTAAGCCCATAAAGTAGCAAAAAATATGTATTGAACCGTCTAGTCTTGCCGTATCCGACGTATAGGCCTACAAAAACACAATATCTTAAAATTATTCCAAAATAGTTTCTTTAAATGGAGTCAACTCTATATACTTATAATTCAAATTCTTAAAAACGTAAAATAAAAACTAAAGCCTGTTTTTTACTACACGAATATATCCATTAGTCGAATATGCTATACTTGCACAAATCAACAATTTTCGCCTATACGCATGCGCAGTTTAATATTCATCTTGGGAGTCTCTTGCGTATGCGTGTAACAATTGTTGTGGAAATTCGCTTAGTGGTAAACAGCCTTTATGCCGACAAGTAGCAAAAAATATGTATTGAAACGTCTAGTCTTGCCATATCCGACGTACTATACAAAACTATCAAACCATTATTTCAAACATTTCATTGTAATAGTTATTGTAAACGGCGTCAACTATATATGCCTATGCTTGCACTTTAAATTCTTAAAATTTAATTTCTCAAAACTTAAAATGAAAACTTAAGCCTGTAAGTAAAAATAAGTATGTATTGAAACGTAAGGTCTTTCCATATCCAACGTACTAGAAAACACCACATCTTACCATTATTCTTAACATTTCATTGCGATAGTTTCTGTAAACAGAACCCACTATATATATACTTAGTCCATAAGTAGTAAAAATGTATTGAAATGTCTAGTCTTACCATATCCGACGTACTATGAAATTATCAAACAATTATTAAAAATATTTAATTGTAATAGTTTCTGTAAACAGAGCCAACTATATATACTTATAAT